CAGTTTTCATAAATACAGTGTTATCTTTATTGTATTTTTTTCCCAAATCACATGATATTCTGTTAACCTGTAAACACTACATGATATTGACAGGGTACTTTGAAAATATTTTTAGTTTCTGAGGAAATCCAATAAAACACAAATCATTAATGACTCTCTACATGCAAAGTTAGCACCATTACCTGAAGTTAGTGTACAGTTTTATGTAACAGTTTACTACACATAGTTTTAGCATTACCTGCCTGTCTACTCAAAGCCTTTCCCCAAGACAATTCTCTTAAAAATAAAATATTGTGTAAAAAGAGAAAGGAAAGACAGAAGGTAATAACAAAAGAAGTAAAAAGGAGAACAGGAAAACAGCTCACAAATACCATAGAGGAAAAGAATACCTTGCAAGAATTCTATGAACCTCTCCAAGTCTACAATTTGCGTTTGAAGCTGGGCCACCAACTGTTCCTTCATCTTGAGCGGATTCACCAACTGCAGCATCACGTTAGGAAGGAGAGCCGTACCAGATGTGTGGGTTAGTCCAGGGTACGGTGGATTAGTATATAATATCCAAGTGCAGCGTGCATAGGAAGAAATCTCTTGTTAGAAGGAAACGCAGTTGAACAGGGAAGGGGAAAAATAGTTTCTTTCTTTTGTTAGAGTTTGGCGGCTTTCCTTGATCACTGCTATGAATTTCTGGCAGAAATGGTAATATCTACTTTCACCAATCATCTTGAAAGTTATTTCCCAGGTGCAAGAATGAAAATTTTTGTGAATCTACGACCAATGTAGCTGGTTATTCATATGGAGCACTGATGATGTGAGAGAAAAAGTATGGGGGCCACTTTTTATTTTTATTTTTTGCAAAGCAGTAAAATTATGGATAACTCTACAGCACTCAGCCCTGTCTCTAACAATAATGTTAATGTACAACACAGTAGATCTATAATCATTTAATTAAAAAGGAAAGGTTTTTCTTTTCATATCATTCAAAAGTCAGGCATAAAAGCCATGTACATGAATTTATCAACTTAATGTCAAGGCAAGATGAAAACAAACTTCTAACTAATGTGAAATTCAATCATTTACTTTGTGTTATGTTATGGTAAAACAATATCATTTCTGAAATGATATATTCTTTTACAGTGAATATTGTCATCCCAAGTGCTATAAAGATGTCCCTCTCATGTGTTCATTCTTGTTAATATGCTACTTCTATACTACATTCTACATGTAACTGTGCAGCTATATACACCACATGCAAACAAGTATTTTAGTCACAAATTCTTTCTAAACATCACCCATTCTGATTCTTAAAGGAATGTTTTAATATTCATAATAATACATGCATGTTACTTCTTCACTGCATCACAAACCATATCAGTCATAAAAAGCTTTTTTGAGAGTAGACAGCCGCATAAAGAACCTTGTTTATTATACAATTAAATTATCCCACTGCAAGGCAACCTCTGCTCAAAACATTCGCTTAACAAAGTCAACTTACCTCACGAATGGCGCTATCAACCTGCACTTTTAAATCATCCACGCTTAGTCTGTCAAACTCGTCAACATTCAAGTTAAGCGTCCCTTTTAGCTGCTCTGTGGAGAGAAAATAATAAAAACTTTTAGGTACTTTGTATTTGGCTTTAATCACTTTAATAAGTGACAGGAAAAAAATATATTATTTATTAAGTGTAAGCATTGTAGCATAGGAAACATCATAAATTTGGAACAGGATTATGAATAATGTACAAGAAAGAAAAGAAAAGAAAAGAAAAAGAAAAAAAATAATTTGAAGAAAGATTAGTATATGCCAGTATCAATGCATTTGATAATTTCAAATGCATTGATAAAATTCACAAGATTTTTATAATAAAGTAGTCATTGGATGTTTCAGCCTCTGCTTCTCACCTATAACGACCCGTTGCTTTTCCATGACTTTGGCTTGAGGAGGTCCACCTTCTCCAGTCTGGTAGGCATAGTTTTCTAAGTCTTCCAGCTGCTGCTTCAACTTTTCAATTAATTCCTTCTGTTTGGCCATTCCTGCATGATCATCTTCCTCACCATCAACCTGAGTTTGGGGAAAAAAAAAAGAAAATTGAAAACTTCGGGAAAAACATGAATTCCCTTCTAAGAGTAAGTGCAAGAACTAATTTTTTTTTTTTTTGGACCATTTCTTGGCCAATATCAGCTGTTACTGCATAAGTAAAGAAATGTAAAGCCTGAGATTATAGCCATAATACAAAAATCTTAATTTACTGTTAATAAGTACAATAAAAGAAATAACCCCTTCATCACTTTTAAATTCACTCATATTACATATCTAAAGATATCTACTCCTGTACAAAGTATTTTGTAAAGAAAATCATACTTAACTTTCCAGGGTCTCACACACTTTAAGCAATGCCTGAATGTACGTTTCCGAGCTAGACATGGCACAGAAATAAGATAATTTTACTAGTTAACAACTATACTCACATGCTCGCTCACAGTCGACTTTCTTCTAGCATTT